AGTCCATGGGAGGTTGAAAACCTTTCCTGGTCGCTAACCACCTCTATGGTGTGCTGGCAGTGAAAAGGTGATTCAGTTTGACATGAAATACGAAAAAGTGACCGGAACGGATTGTAATAAAGAATACTAAGAAGTTGTTATGAACCTTTGCATTGGTCATATTGACCCAAGCGGAGGCGAAGCATTTGTTTCAGGTCTTCTTGCGGTGCTCGTCGGCTTGAGTCTGATTCTTCTCCAACACTACCGTGTCTACACTCTCTCGACGTTCCTAGACGCCCGATTGGATGAGGCTGTCAATCCCAGCAAAAATAAACAGACTGACGTCGCGGAGGATCTTCCAAACAGCTTGCAAGTACGTGCATTTTGCAGGTCTCCTCTCCTGATTTGCGATCTGACAGTACCGCTTTGCAGGTGATGCGACGCACAAAGGGTTCCGCCCCGAGCTCTGTCACGAGCGAGAAAAAAGCGTCTTCAAGTGGATTTCAGTCAAGAACCAGTTATACCGGGTCGATGAGGTGTGTAAGCGGTCACCCGTTGGACTTGAGAGTTCTTTGATTTTTCTGATGAGTTCTCTTGCAGGAGCCAATCCTCTTTCGAGTCAGTACATGGCGATCTTCAGCGATCGCCATCAAATCTGACGATTGATGACGAGCATCGACCGCCCCGCGGCCCTCGAGAGTCCAAAATTGCGGTTACCGTCGAACATTTCTGAGGCTGGAGGCGCAGCGCGATGCTTCGCTGCGTCAAGTAGCTCTCTGTTTTCGAGATTCTAGTCACTTGCCATCTTTGGTGGAAGTCACTCACACGTGTTGCCTATTAGCCATACAAATTGACCCATTGCCATGTCACTCTTCCTTCGGTCCCCATCTACTAAGTCTCTTTGTTTTGTGGTGTTTATATGAGCTTCTTCCTGTTGTTGCTTAATTCATGATTGCTTCTCGGGTTTCAACTGTAAATATCACTTTCGCGTTGTGCTCAGCGTAGTTTGTCACGGAATGATAGTTTCTGATGATTTTTAGATGACTGTTCTTAATGCTGCTGAGTTTATTTGTTTTGTTGCTTTTGAGTCTTTCGCCAAAGTTAGGACATGTCGTCGACGATACTTCCTTCCTTCCTTTCTTCATCCTCTCCTCTTCATTCTTTCGTATTGTAGTAATTTCTTTGCTTTCTAGAATGACTAGATGTCAGACGGGTGTCCAGTGCGGAGTGTGGCGGAGGTCTGCGTTCACTGGAGGGAATTTGGCTTGTGTTTTTATGTTGACACCTAACGTCCTTGAAATACTCGCAGATCTCTTCACATTCCCCAAACAGTTCTTTAATGCAATTTGATTTATGTCGTGAATGAAAGCTTTTCTCAACGTCACTTTACAGCAGAAGCAGACAGCGGCGAAAGGGAAATCAATGAAACCCGTGAAAAGCATCAGCATACTTTTACAGATCAAATTTGATCAGGTTCGTGATCAGACTGACCAGAAAAGGTCGTCAGGCCGTTCGGCCATTTTAACCCTTTGGCGACAATGGCACCCACCGGTGGGTGCCACTATGTTCGTCGCGTGGGACAATGGCACCCAATGGTGGGTGCCACCTTAAAATTTCCTTCTTTGTGCATTTAAAACATTTGTAACACCCCAATAATTATAAGCAAGTTCCATAATATCTATGACTAGCACGACTTACAGAAATGTTTATTAAGAGCTAATTTATATAGAATTTTAGAATGTGCCATTTAGCTCGCCAGCATATTAATTGGGGTTTTGCATTATTAGGCTGAAGATTAATTACTAATCAGGACTTCTTCGTCTTCTCATAGCCTCAGATATGGGAAGGGGTTTGAAGTGTATCGAAAATCCTCCTGAACACTAACTATTAGGAGGTTTTGCCCTCCTTCCCTTTAAAACGCGATTTCCCCTTTCAGGTTTGGAAATGTCATGAAAACAATATACAGTATGAAAGCCTGAACTGCAGTTTTATCTGGTATACTGCTGAAGTCAAAAATTCTATAGAAAAACTGCCTTGAGGGACAATTTTGCCCAATTGTGAGCGAGAGTTGGGCGCGCCAAAAAGAGGCGTGGTCCCATGAGCAAGCTACGTGCAAATCCGCATTGTCGTCAAAGGGTAATGAACTCTATACCCTTGTACTAGCCTCGAGACGCTGAACTCAAAACTGTTTTCCCGATCTGCTAAACGATGTTTCGAACAGAGGTTATGATGCAGAGCATGCGCAAGGAGTATGCCCTGTCCCGCAGGCAAGAGCTCTTGTGGACATGCTCGCAAAACCGTTCATCATAGAAAAGTAGTGATAACGATCTAGATGCTTTTCTGCCACATTGATATCAAAAGCAGGCTCTTCGAAACCGTTCCCACCACCTCTTGCCTTGCAGGGCACTACCGCTGCACTTTCCTGTTTTAAACCTCGTTCAAAGAACCGTAATGCAGTTAGAGAGAGCAGTTTTGAGCTGTGTACAGCTCACTGCAAAGGATGGGCCGTCCTGATTGACATTCCCCGGTGAGAACTTTTTGATTAGAAGTGTGGGTTTTTCACTAGACCGTTGGAGTGCAGCGATGATACATCCCTGCTGCATAATTTCTATTGCTGTGTTTCGCCGTGTAAGGGCGGAGAAACATACAGGGTGGGGCAAAATTACTGGTGCACTAAATTTTCAATGGCATTTTGACAATAATTCTCACAAATCAATTCTAATTATCAATATTATTTACTACAAACATGACAATACAAAAAATGTTAATGCTTCTCAAAATGATCTCCTTTAGCCTTCACACAGTCCTTCAGACGTTCGACAAATGCTTCGCATGTGGCACGCAGGTACTGGTCATCGATTTCGTCCCAAGATTTTGAAAGCGCCGCCTTAAGAGAGTCCAAGTTTGGATGTCTGGTAGAACACGCTTTGCTCTCCAAGATGGACCACACAGAGTAATCCATCGGGTTTAGATCAGGAGAACTGGAGGGCCATTCGTCGTGTCTGATGAAGTCGGGCAGGTGCTCGGCGCACCACTCCTGGACCATCTTTCACCATTTCTCCTCGACTCGTAGCTGTTGTGGGACGTCCTCTTCCTTCCCTGTCCTCTTCGGTCTTCAGTTCTTTATAGCGTCGTACTGTATTCTGAACCGTCCTTCGAGGTACGGAAAGGATCTTCACAATTTCTCTTGTTTGCTTGCCGTCGTTGTGAAGTTTGATGATCGCGCTCCGTAGGTCAGAACGACGGACCATTTTGTATTCGAGTACGTAGGAATTACGCAACCTCCAGGCAACATATCACAAGCGAGTGAAACAGGAAAATCTCCAAGAAGTGTTAAAAAATTCAAAACGTATAGGTGCACCAGTAATTTTGCCCCACCCTGTAGCCCATGGTGGCGCACGAAAAGGACAAACTTAATACTGCAGAAAATCCTAGAATCGAGGGCAAGAGGACTGATGTGTCAATGTGTCACGAACGCAATGAAGAAGCGAACACGTGGTTGCTACGAAGCTCCTTCGAGTACTCATGAGCAAACTGTTTCAAGTGAAAATTTCCTATTAGAATTGGTGAGTGGCTAAATTGGCGAATGACAACGAAGACTATGGCAAAAAAGTTGTTCACCATATCCATGCAACCCATTATTAATGACAGGGAATCAAAATATCTAAGGAGGTTCCACTCAGAGGGGCCATCCGTGATTCTTCTCGAGTAAGTAGGCAAAGAATACCCGCTGGGTGACTCGTGGGTGCCTTCCTACACAGAGTTGTCACGCCGCTGAACTCGTACCAAATGCGCATTATGGCGTTAAAACGCCTTGGGGCTGTAACCATCAACCCTCATTACAACGCTTCCCACCTTCAGCGACTGATGTGAAGATCAGCGCGTCCCCTCCAGGAGCGTGCTCTCCCGCGTGTTTTGTCCTCTTTGGTGGCTTTGCTTCTAAACCACATCGGTCATTTCAAACTTATCCATCGCTATGATGCGCTCTTATACACCGGCTTTATCCCAGGATTTGCCTTTGATTCCGGTCAGTGAGATTCCACGCTCGTTTACGAAAGGTAATATATCGTGTGCGAATTAATTTTTGACACCTTTTTGCAAAACATTGCAAGTCAAGCTGTCTCGCGCACTGCCGACAGCTGTGATTTTGACATTTTTTGGAGGGTCTTCATGCAATTTATAACATGTACTACTTATCATCCCACAATTTTCGACTTGTTTACAATCTCTGCAACCGTTCCCTCAAAGGCACGTTTCGATAAAAAAGGGGATTGTATGCCATGGGCACCACACGAATTCACTGATACCTGGCGCAAAGGAAGCAAAGTGTAGCGCTTTCCATGACGGAAGATCGCTGAGTTCTCTGGCGCAGAAGCCACTCCCCCAAACGCACCCCACCCTAGTTTACTTTGGTGGATTTGCAAACGAGGCAGCGTTGCCAGCAGCGCCACAACCTGAGCAAACTCGATTGGAGTGGTTTGGCATGGTGTTACCAAACGTTGCGCTGAACTCGTTCATACGCCCGCTTTCTGAGCTGTTACCTGTTCATGAGTGAAAACCAACGGCCAAAAAAGGGGTCCCATTTTGCGTTTTTTGACGGATTTCTCCGCTTTTTTCGCCACCGACGTACCATTGAGCACCACCACGTCTCCTCTTTGAATACATATATCGTAATTGCTGCCTTTAATCAACAATGCTTGCTGTAGGTACGTTTCACCCACGGAGCGAACGAAACAGAAAAGTTTATGAAGTTTTCAGGCAAGCTTCTTCCTTCAATACCACCACCAAGCGATGGGTTGAAAAATGCAAAGGAGATTGTCATACCACAACGAAAGATGAGTCGGACAACCAACCGACGTCGGTATTTCAGCTAAATGAGGACGATCCCAGAGAGAGCGATGAAATGACACACTTGAAGCTAAAATCCATAATCGTGACGGCATAGCCAACTCACCAGAAATATGGGATAAAGTCCTTGAATGAGGTTTACGTGAATGGAATAACATCACTTCAATGCAATAGATATTTTTGAGCGAAAATAAATTACTAGGCATAAATGAACCCCCAATATGCAGAGGGGGGCAGCGGGCAAAAATAAGACTCTCTCTGCTCATGATGCACATCATCAAACGCACATTGTACTGTCATTGATTAAGTCCTCCGGTACAATAGTCCTTAGATGTCCCCCCATAAGCCGAAAGGAGGCACTCTTTCACTGCCCCACCATCTTCAGAATATGACGTCATCTGTCATCAGCCTGCCATCAGTGTCGAGCCTACTGTAGTCTTAGGAGTCCTACCGTAGTCGTTCCAGTCTAAAGCTCCTACACAATTTCTCCAATCAGTTGAATGTGGATAGCTTCCCAGAGACAGTATCCGACCATGTAACACCCGTTCCTACCAGCTTTATAATGAATGATTTCATCCTATCAGAAGGAGCTAGTCTCAACTCACCCTTTTTCGAATTCTGGCAGCTTTGCTGCTTTGAGCGTTGACCAGTCATCGATTGAAACACCCAGCTGAGGATTCAATCACCGATCTAGGATTGATCCTAAGATCGGGCCCTGGCAATTGTAGCCAGCGTTATCGCAAAATCCGGGGATATCTCAAGGGCTAAATCCAGAGGGGACAGGAACAATGGAGGAAATGAAAGTTGCTCACGCATTTAGAGGCTCTACACCCCTTCCTGAGGCTTAGTTCCAATGTTACCAAGGAGGAGATCCTTCCACGCGGT